AACTTAATAACAAAGATGAGATGGAACCCAAACCCAATATCTTAAAGAAAGGTTTGATGAGCCTTGACCTATCACTATATTGAGAGAGAGATTCTTAGCATGGTTCTTTCTGAGAGAGAGAAAACCTTTCCGGTTTAAACTTTTTCTTTTCGCGGGCTTTCTGGTTGGCGGATTCCGACGATTTTGATGATGGTTCAAGACGGCCAGCAGCAGATTGCCGGTGGTAACTCGTCTGAGACCGCACGGTCTGGTCAGATGAAGTCTTCTGATCAAGTTCTTGGTAAGAATCAGAATGAGGAGTTTGCTTCGTTGAGAAAATCTTGTAGTTTGGTGATCAATGAAGGATTCCGACCTCCGCCGAAGGTTGATCCTGTCTCGAAAGGTAAGGGTAAAGGTATTCTTGAAGAACGAGTGACCAAGGTTAAGAAGGTTGAAGAAATTCAGGATTTGACGATGAACCGGGGAATTGAATTTGCGTCTGGTTCTAAAGATCTGCTGAAACTTAAGGAGAATACATGAAGACAAGATTCTGCTAGTAGAGAAGAGATGATTGAAAACATTGAGATTTCTATTGAGAAAGAAGATGGAATATATATTCCTATAAATGATTAGAGTGCTAAATATGATCCAGCGCATAGCTTTGTGTCGGCTTGGCAAAAGGTACAACACATTAAATTGAGTTTTAATTCAAATTCTACCAAGTTGTCGGAAGATGGAATGGCTTTGAAACTCAACCCTGTTAAAGAACTGGCTAATGCTCAAATTTTGGAGAAATCCCTGGTGATTAAAGTGCTAGAAGAAAATATTCCTTTTTGTGTCTGTAGCCAGGAACTTAGGAGACAGTGGAATAAGGTGGGAAGTTTTCACATGACTTCACTAGGTAATAACTGGATTCTTTGTTTGTTTACAAGCATTGAATCCATGGAGGAAATCTTAAATGGTGACCGTGGTATATTGGAAACCACATCATTGGAATGGATAGATGGACGACATCATTTTCTACTAATTCTTTAAAGGGTATCTCTTCCCCAGTGTGGATTAGATTCCCTGGTTTGCGTTTAAGCTACTGGGATGAGGAAAGCATCACTCTAATTGCATCTATGATTGGAGTCCCTTTGCTTTTGGATGGGAATTATTTTAAATGAGGGAAGAGGGAATATGCGAGATGCTGTGTTCAGATAGATTTGGAAAAGAAACTTCCTTTGGGAGTTTGGATAGAAGTAATCCATGGAAGATCATTTCAGAAGGTAGAATATAAAAAGTTGACATCGCTGTGTTATCAGTGCGGCAGAGTGGGATACAACAAGAGTATTTTCCCGGAATTAGCAAATATTCCAATTGAAAAGTCAGTTGTAGATGAATGTGATGAAAATAAGAAGCTGAAAAGTGATCTGGCAAGCGAAGATGTTAAGAAGAAGCAAAGCAGAGAGGAGTATGGACCATGGATTCACGTCAAATTTAAAAATAACAGATTCAGGAATAATGTGAGGAATGGAGGAATGTTGGGTCCAAGCAAACAGGTTTATAAACCAGTGGAAAAAATGGGAAAAAAAATTAGCAGACGCACAAGAAAGGAATGGTTCTTCGGTTGATAATGTACAAGGAAAAACTGCTACTCAAGAGGAGGTGAATGTTGCTACAACTATTCATCCTCTGGCTGTTTCAGAAAATTTCAATAGTGTGAATAAATTTCAATTATTAGAAGATGTTTTTGAAGAAGGGGAAGTTTTAGAAATGGAAACTTCGAACTGTTTTAACAATGCCAAGCCCGAAGAAAGCAGAGAGGTTCAGAATAATGCAGATCATGGAAATACTGTCAATGGTGAAATTAAGAACAATGTAGATCTGCTGGTTTCATTGACAAGCTGAGGGAAAGTTAAGCTTTCAAAAGAACTATGATCTTTTGGTCCAGTGGAAGCTGATCAAAGAAAAAGGAAAGGAGAAAAAAAGAGTAATAAAATGATAGGGGATCATTCCCCTGTTATTTTATAATGACGTCCATTAGCTTCTGGAATTGTAGGGGGGCTAGAAAGAGGGAGGCCTCCCTATATCTTAGGGAGTATTTTAAAGACAATGATTGTTTCTTTATTGGTCTTACTGAAACAAAGATTTCCTTCTTAGAAAGACAAGACATTGATTCCATTATTGGAGTTGATTGGGATTACTACTTTCAACCATCAGTTGGGTTATCAGGTAGGATTTTGGTGCTTTGGAAAAGATGTTTGGCCTCTTTTGAAGCCATTGAAGTTTCATACCAATTGATAATGGGAGATTTGAATATCAATACTTTAGGTAGCTAGAAGGTGGCTACTGTTTACGGTGGTAAAGATGTTCAAACCTGCAGAAATCTTTGGCATTCTCTGGAAGTTGGTATGCAGGGTGATACTCCAGCTTTAATTGGGGGTGATTTCAATTGCATCCTTTCAAAGGAGGATAAGAAGGGTGGTAAGAGGTTCCATTTCTCTTGTGGACCTAAAGAGATGAAGATGTTCCTTACGAACAATGATCTCCATGATCTTGATTATGTAGGACCAAGATTCACTTGGTGTAATAACAAAGAAAGAAATTCAAGGATTTGGGAGAGATTAGATAGATGCTTTGTAAACTCTATTACTTTACAAAGAATTCCTATGGCCAAGGTGATACATCTTTCAAGAATTGCTTCAGATCATGCTCCAATCGTGTTAAATTTGGTGGAACCACAGAACTAGAAATCTAAATTCATTAGATTTGAAGATAGTTGGAAATCATATCCTGCGGTTTGGCACATTGCGATTAAGGCATGGAGAAAACTTGACTATGGTTCCAGTTCTGAAATTATGCATAGGAAATTAAAGAGAACCTTGAAAGCTCTTTACTTTTGGAACAAGAACAAGTGTAAGGAATTGAACTTGTTGAAAGAAAACTTGAAAGAAGATATTCTAAAGCTGCAGTTAGAAGAAGCTAGTAGTGAAAATTTCTATGCTGATAGACTAAAGCTTCTTAGAAGTAAGGTGCACGAATTAAATATTACTTTGGGTAGATTAGCCACTTGGTGGAACCAAAGAGAAAAAATCAAATGGCATCATGATGGTGACAGGAACTCCAGGGATTTTCATCAATGTGCTTCGGCTAAGAGAAATGGTAACCTTATATGGCAAATCAAAAATGAGAATGGTTAGTTTGTAGAAGATTTCGGACAAATTGAAGATGTCTTCCATGAATTTTTCAGTAAAAAATGGGCTTCAAGGAAATGTCAGCTGTCAGGCTGGCCTTCAATTCCCATGAACCTGCAGCTTTCGGATGATGAAGCTGACCTCTTAAAGACTGAATTCACCAAAGAAGAATTGATAAAAGCAGATTTCAATCAAGGTAATAACAAGTCTCCGGGATTAGATGGCATTACAACATCCTTTTTCAAAATTTTTTGGAAAATTGTGGAAGAGGATAGTTGGAAGGCAATTGAAAGTTTTTTTAATACTGGTTCTATGCATAAGGATTGGAAGGATACGTTAGAAGTCTTAATTCCAAAGATAAAAAATCCTACCATGCCGTCTAACTATAGGCCTATAAGCCTATGTCAAACTACCTACAAGATTGTGGCTACTATGATTTTGAATCGAGTAACGAAATGTATTTCCAAATGTGTAACTGAAGAACAAGCTGCTTTTATTAATGGTCGCTCTATGCGGATCATTGCCTCATTACTCAACAGATTTTTCATAAGCTTAGAGTCACAAAAAACAAAAAAAGGTCTTATGTTAGTTAAGCTTGATATGGATCAAGCTTATGACAATATGAAATGGGATGCTTTAGAACAAGTGTTGCAGATGTTTGGCATGCCGGTGAAGATGATTGGGTTGATTATGGAATGTGTTAAAGGTGCCATAATTTCTTTCATCATCAATGGTAAAGCTTCCAAGTGGATCGCTGCTGCAAATGGGTTTCGTCAAGGTTTCCCTCTCTCCCCTTATCTATATATTTTGTGCTCTCAATTATTTTCCTTAGCCATGGCTCAAGATGGTCAGGATTTGGGAATTCAAATCTCAAAGAGATCTCAAAAAATCAATCACCTCTTATATGTCGACGATGTGCTGATATTCTCTCATGCTTAAAAAGATTTAGTCATTAAATTAAGAAGCATTGTTTTAAATTTCTATAGTTGGACTGGTTTGAAAGTAAACAATGCAAAATCTGAAATTCTTTTCAGTAAGTCCATGAAAAGAACAAAAAAGATTCGAGTAAAAAGAATTCTGAATTTCAAAACAATTAAAGAGCTGCATTACCTTGGTGTTCAGCTACTGCTTAGAAGGCCGGTTAGAGCGGATTTTCAGTTTCTCATTGATAGTGTTCTGCAGATATTAAACTCTTGGGGAGGTAAATGTCTTTATTTTGCAGGAAAACTTATCCTTGCAAAGACATCGCTTCTATCTCTTACAAATTTTGGTTCAACTCACAATATGGTACCTAAGAAAGTTCTTCAAGAGATAGATAAATGCTGCAGAAATTTCATTTGGAACAAGAGAAATGGTAAGAAGGTGATGCATTATGTATCTTGGAATACTCTATGCAAATCAACATATAAAGGTGGGAGGAATTTGCATTCGGCTGTTGATAGAGCTGGGCTTCTTAAAGCTAGATTAACGTGGAGGATGATTCAAAAGCCTGAGTCTTTACTTTCATGAGTGGTTACAGCCAAGAATGGAGATGATGTCTGGAATATTAAATACAAGAGTAACACCTCTATTGCTTGGAAAGTGTTAAATGAAGGAGCCAGATATTTGAAACCTCTCTTGAGGTGGAGAGTAGCTAATGGTATAAGCATTGATGTTGTTAATGATGTTTGGTTATTAGATAAGAGTTTCAGTGAATGGCCTATCATGGCTGAATGCTTGGGGTTGGAGGGTTTAAAGCTAAACCATTTTATCGATTCGAATGGATCTTGGAAGAAGGAGGAATTGCTCTGTTATTTTAATGAGGATATGATTCCTGTGATTATATAAATCAAGATTGAGTATGAAATGCTGGAGAACTTAATCGACGAAATTCATTCCTTATTTCGCAAAACCATTACAACAAGGGCATATGAAACTCACTGCAGTAGTAAGAAAGATTATGAAGCAATTTCTGGATTTAATAGCTGGTTGAAAAAATTAAAAATGATGGCTCGTGTGGAAGTGTTTTTGTGGAGATTAAGTAGAGGTGTTATCCCAACTAATGAGTTCTTGAAATTCAAAAAAATCTATAATGATGATCAGTGCGTTAGAGGATGTGGAGAAGTTGAAAATCTGTCACATATAACTACTATGTGTAATCATCTGCGGGAAGTGCTGAAGAAGATCCATGAATGGGGTATTTTTGTTTCAGTTTTTAACTCAATGGAGGATTGTCTTAGTGAACTTAAACGCCTCTCTATGACTGCACCAAATGTTGTTATTCCTTATTGTAATGCTGTGTATTGGAATTGGAAAAACAAAAATGAGGTGGCTCATGGAAAGGATGCTAATATGGTTTCAGCAACTGCAGCAAATGTGTTATCCACAGCTTACCTATCTTTTAATCCTCTCATTGCTAGCTGGGGTGCTAATCTCCCTCGGGAGTTTCAAACTATTTGGCACCCTCCATCGCAAGGATGGATTAAGATCAATGTTGATGCGGCTCTTCTATCTTCTTATAATGCTGGCATTGGAGGTTACTTTAGAGATGATAAAGGCAGATTATTGATAGCCTTTGGGGAAAACAGAATTCATTGGGACATAGCAAATCTTGAGCTAGCAGCTGTGATTTCAATCAGGAAATTCCTACATCCATGGATGGTTGAATTCAAAGGACTCATAATAGAAGGTGATAACATCAATGTTATCAAATTCATTCAAGATTCTTTGAATAAGGCGAAGTGGCAAAGCTACAACCGGATAGAAGAGAATCTTCTATTCTTGGCCGATTTCAATAAGGGAATTTTCAACCATATACATAGAAATGGTAATAGAGTAGCCGATATGTGTGCTACTATGGCTTTAGATTACAAATTTTTTTTTTGATAGTTTTTCTTTTACAAACATCCCTTCTTCTCTAGGCTATCTTTTGAAGAAGGAATCTGAACATTTGCTTTAGTTTGTATCTTGTTTTCTTTCCCCTAATGCATCCTCTATTGCAATCTTCAAAAAAAAAAAAAATTACCTATCACTATACCAAAAGAAAATAGTTAAAACAACGAAGGATTAAAACACTACACCAAGAAAACTTAAAAATCTTAGTAGAACTCAAGGTGATAAGTTTTGACGATTGAACGCCACAAAACAAACATGTAGGTTCTTTTTAAAACCAAGAGGGACACAAAATCCAACAAAAGTGTATTATCTGAAAATCCAAAAAACGATTGAATCTCTCCCCCTCCTAGTCTTTGGAAAATCCAAAATAAAATCCATTGAAATATCAAGCCAAGGTTCATTAGGTACAGAAAACGTGATGCACAAATTATGGAGATTTGACTTAGACATAACCGATTTACATTTTATAAACTTCTTACAAATTCTTTCCACATCACATTTCACGTGAGGCGAAATAAATGTTGATGAAAAATTCTTAAAATATTAGCTTCACAAAAATGTCCCATCAAAACACCACCATGGGCTTTTCTCACAATCATTTCAAGTAATAAACCTTAAACACATAGTTTAACTTCTCGAAATAAAAAGTTTTAATGCTTATAAACAAATAAAATGTCACTCTTTTGCATGCATTGAAAACATCACCAATATCAGAATCTTGAGTATATAGATCATTAATTAAATTGAAATCAAACATTTTCGTATCAAAAATAGAAATTAAGACATACCTTAGGGAAAATGCATCAGCTACCACATTTTCCTTACATTGCTTGTATTATATCCCATAAGAAAGTATTTCAATGAGTTCCAACCACAAGGCATGACATTCATTCAATCTTTTCTACCCTTTCAAATTCATTAAAGATTCATGATCTGTATGAATCACAAATTTTTTTGGCCAAGGTATTGCAAATTTTTCCAAGCCCTCACCAAAGAATACATCTCCTTATTATAAGAATTCCACATGTCGCGTGCAAATGCTAACGTCGTGAGTTACTTCCACCACTGTTGAGAGTCCTTAAAGGAGGATTTCTATTTTTGAAAGGCTATCACATCAAGTAGTCCCAGCTACCAAGAGGGTTATATATGGCGAAAGAATTTCTATAGTGATGGCCAACACCACTGCTGAAGCTTGCTCATCAAGAGGAAAGCTAAAAAGAAGACAGAGAAGAAAGAAGAATGTTTAGTTCCAAGCTTCCGTCCTAATAACCAGAAGTAACCATTCCTACTTAGAATGGGTTTGTGGGCCTAAAATGGGTAAGAAGGAATAAATCCACTGGGAAGCTAAAGAAGTAACCCAAGATAACATTCACCTCGATGGTCAACCCCTTGGAAAATCTTTTAGGGGATCCCATTACTCACTAAACCTAGTCAAGGAAGATGTCAACTTGAAACGCATTCCACGGGTTAAAGAGATATTCTTTCCAAATTAAGAACCAAAGATTTAGTTATGCCACTGCTCAAAAAATTGAATCTAAAAAGGAGAGGAGGAAGAAGAAGATGACACCATGGACGTCAAAATAGTTTACTTGGTGAGGCATGTCAATATTGATAATAATGCCGATTATGATGATGGTGGAGATTATGTAGATTGGTAGACACCACCTAAATAAGTTCATCAATGCCACCATGAGACTGGGTATGTCTCCGATAAAGGTGGCCACTGATAAGGAGGAGAAGAAAAGGCTGAGAGGAATCCTTTTAATGCTGAAGACATCAGCTGAACAAAAAGTTGAGTAAGATGATGACCCAAATGATAGTAGTGATGAAGATAACTGCTATCGCAGGCCCTACACCATCTACTATGGCCGACCTTCAAGACCTCCAAGCGCCTAAAGTATCAGAAATATGAGGCAACCTTGAAGGTGGTCATGAGGTGCAGAATGTCATTCGCAAGCTTAATCTATAGAACATTTTCAATATCTCCGCACGTGTAATGGCTATATCGTTGAAGGGAAAAATCACAAAAAAGATTAAGGCAATCATAACCATTGATCAGGGTGAGAAATTCAGGGGTAAGGGTTACTGGTATCCTATCAAATACGACTAACTATCATACCCGAAAGAGTATTCTGTGTCAAAGTTTAACACATTCATTGGCAATAACAACCCTATTTGATTGAAAAAACTTGAGTTTTGAAAATATTTAATTTTCTTTAAGAAATCTGACATTAACTTTTAAATTTTAATTCTAAAATAGAACGTACCATCAGAAATGATATACCACCTCGAAAAGTGAAAATAAGGTTTCTTAATGGGGTTCATATTTAGAATTATAAATTACATTTGAGAAAGAACTACATATGATCCTGAAGGATCAAAATGATGTTCTACTAAATATTTGACTATTATAGTCTAGATGAAGGATCATTAATTTCATATTTGAATTCATGATAATAGAACAATATTTCTTCCCAGAATAAGAAGGTTGTCTTCTCAGCTCCTTTTTTGTCTCCTAGGCCTAATGGTTTTACATTTGAATATTCAAAAAGTTCCTGGGACATTCTATAACCTATTTTTATATATTTATTTTGTGTTATTTCTCTTCTTATAAAATGCCTAGGGCTGCTAATGTTTATGCTATTGTTCTCATTCCTAAAAGTGCCCATGCTTCTTTGATTAATTGTTTCAAACCTATTTCTCTGTGTGATATTTTTTTATAAAACGGTGGCTAAAATTTTGGCTTATAGAATACAACTTATTTTGCCTTATATTATTCACCTTAGTCAATCTGGCTTTATAAAATAGAGAATTTCCACTGATAATATTTTATTAGCTTCAGAATTATTAAGGGACTTCAATTGTTGTACTGATGTAAAGTAATTATATGCTAAACTTGAAATTCATAACTCTATCGACATCGTTATTAGATTTTTTTTTAATAGACAAGCTAAAAATGGTTTTTCTGATTGTTTTATTTCTTAGATTAAAGATTGTATTGAGGAAATTTTCTTTTCCATTGATCTTAATGGTTCCTTAGAAGGGTTATTTTGCTCCTCTTCTCGTCAAGGTTATCTTCTATCTCCTTAGTTATTTTGTATAGTGATGGTTGATTAACTTAATTTGATATATGATATATCTTTGGATACTAATTTTTAGGGAATAGTGGCTGCTGATAGCTATATTTCTCATTTACTTAATGCGGATGATGTTTTAGTTATTGGAAAAGCCTTGGCTCTGAATGCAAACAAATTATATGATATTTTGGATTATTTCTTTTTTTATTTTGCTTTCTTTATTAATAATAATAAAAGTTTGACAATTTTTACCAAGGTTACTATTTTTTCGGATAGTATTTGTCAGATTTAAAATATTTCTAATTCTCAACGTAGTATGAAACATTTGTGTATTCCTATTTCTATAAAAAGGCTTATTGGTTCTAATTTTAAATTTTTTTCTTAAAAAAGTTTTTGATTTGCTTTCTTTTTGGAAGGCTATGGAGCTCTCATTTACGAGGAGACTTCGATTTCTTAAATTTACTATTATCAATAACATTACTTATTGGATTAGAGGTATTGTTATTCATATATTTCGCCTTAGATTTATAATGTTTTCTCTTTCTTTCTTTTTCATGATAATGCTAATGCTAAGAAAATGCATATTATAGCATGAAAGGATGTGTGTAAGCCAAAGTGTTTTTGGGGTCTAGGTATTCCAGATCTTGTTTCCTTATTAAATTTTTTTAGTTGTTCTATTATTTGGAGGATTTTAAATGAGATTTAGTGAGAATAAGAGGAAGAGAGAGTACGAGATATAGAGATTGAGAGAGGGTGAGACATAATGGGAGAACATGACTAATAGAGAGTGAGAAAGAGTGGGAAGGATAGAGAGTAGAAGATAGGGAATGATACAATGAAACAGGGATATAGAATGTGTGTGAGAAAGTGAGAGGGTGAGAAGCTAGGCTAGAAAGGGTGAGTAAGTGAGAGAAGATGTTTTAGAGGGATAGGGAGGGCGTTGGAGAGAAAAGGAGTGGAAAAAATAGTAGGTGAAAGAGGAAGAGAGAGTAATAGAAAAGAAAATATAGATAAAATTAAACAAAATAAAGAGAGATATTTCTTGAGGGGTTGGGTGTAAAACATCTATTTTTTGGAAGATAGTGAAAGGAAGACAGAGAAGGAGAAAGAGAAGGGGATAGAGAAAAAAGAGAAAGAGGGAGAAATGTTGGTGAGATAGAGAGAAATAAAAAGAGACTGATTGGACGAGGGAAAACAAGTAATTAAGAAGATAAAGAAATAAAAAGAGATGGAAATATATTAAAGAGAGAGGGAGGGAGGGAGAGAGAGAGAGTTGTAAAAAGAGATGGAAACAAGATAGAAAGAGGGAGAGTGTGGTAGCACGAGAGTAATAGAGAAGGAGATATGTGTGAATGGGTTTGGGAGAGAGAGATTTAAATATAGAGTCAAGCAAGAGAGAGTGTGATGGTGATAGAGAGACGGAGGGACACTATGAGAGAAAACTAAGATAAAGTTAGAGAGAGAGATAGAGCGAAGAAGGAAGTGAGAGTGCAAGAGTGAGATAGAGAAGACTAATTGTGTGTGTGAGAGATAGAGAGAGGGAAAATTATAGGGATATTTTAGTGGAGAGGATGAGAGAGAGAAGAGATTGTGAAAGAGAGAGATGGGGAGATAATGAAAGAGAAAGAGCAAGAGAGGGGCCGATAAAATGATAAACATAATGTGAGGAATATATATATATATATATATATAAGTGATGCAAACTAATGAATTGGACATGATAAACATGCATATGAAAATGAAGCTAAAGATCCTTTAATGTTTCCTAGTGGCCCAATTATAAGACTCAAAGTTAAATGTTTCAAGGAAGCTATAAATGTGTAAATCAAAGAGAAATGGGCTGATCCTTAAATAACCAAAATGATTTAAATAGTCAAACTCTAGTCTATGTCATCAAAATAATTGTGGTGGTTA